TGGGCATGGCCCCAGATGGGTCTCTGAGCCGGGGACGGCCCTGCGGCCATCCTGGAGCCCTGGGAATGGTTCCATACCCCGGGGTTTCTCACCCAGGGATGGGTTTCAGGATGCCCTGGAATGGCTCCTCACATTGGGGATGGGCTGCAGGATGTTCTGGGAATGGTTCCATATCCAGGGATGGGCTGCAGGAAGGTTTGGGAATGGTTCCATATCCAGGGATGGGCTGCAGGATGCTCTGGGAATGGTTCCATACCCAGGGATGGGCTGCAGGATGCCTTGGGAATGGTTCCATATCCAGGGATGGGCTGCAGGATGCCCTGGGAATGGTTCCATACCCCAGGGATACACTGCAGGAAGGTTTGGGAATGGTTCTTCATTTCAGGGATGGGTTTCAGGATGCCCTGAGACCCCAGGAATTGCTTTTAGCTCAGATGGAGCCCCAGTACCACCCCTGTGCCCCAAGATTGCCCCGTGCTGCCTCCGTGCTCTCCCTCTGGCACAGGCTGTGTCACTGGTGGAGCTGGGAAATGTTCATTTCTGTCCCTAAATTGCTGATTTCCATCCTGGTCCACCTGACCCGTGGGGTTTGGCTCCCTGCTCCCATCCCCTGGGCTCTGTGCAGGGATTGCCCTCCTGCTTTGCTCCCTCCCAGCTCCAGCAGCCTCTGCTCCCTCTCTGCCATTCCCTTATCAGCTTTTTTCCCTTATCAGTTTTTCCCTCAGCTCTGATTTCTGGTTAAAGCCCAATTCCAGCTCTTCAGCTCTCTTGTAGGTTCTTGCCATGCTTGAGCACGGAGCCATCTGCCCTGTCAGGCCCAGGGATCTCCCCAGTTTTTGGATCAGGCTGTCTGAGCTGCCACCTTGAGCTCTCCCAGAGCTCTTTGGCCTTTGAATACACAAAGTTTTGAGCCCTTTCAGGTGCTGTTTCCTCTATTCTATTATTAATGAATGTTAATTACTGCTTTTCTGGTTCTTGTTCTGTGTAAATCCCTACTAAAAGAGACTTGTAATGTTCTTTTCTTCTCTCTGTGTCACATCTGACCTGCTCCTCTGAAGGTTAGCAGTGAGATGAAGGGCAGCCCAGTGCGTGTTTGTTGCCTGGGAGGCAAATGGAATTGCAAAGCTTTATTTTTTCACAGATCTTCAATTGGACTGGACCTGCCCTGCCTATCAATAATACATGACCTGGGCTTTCTGCACCAAAACTCTGCTAATTGGCTAATTAAAAAGTGAAACGTGCAGAAGGAGCCAGCGCTGGGCTCACCAGAGACTCTCAGCAGGAGCAGCAGGGCTGAGCTAATGCGATGGATGAAGCTGAGCTGGGGCTGAGCAGAGCTCTGGGGGTCTGGGGAGCAGAGAGGGGGGTTCACAAACAGCTCCTCACCCTGGGCCTCTCTTTGTCTTGCCTGGCTACCACAGCTTTATTTTTAATTGTTATTTTTCTCTTTTCTCGCCTTCTCCCTTCTAAAAGGAGGGATTGTGGCTGGGGAGAATTGCTGCAGGGCTTGGCTGCTGCCTCTTGCCTGTGCTCAGAGCTCTGCTGCTCCACATTAACATTCCCAGCAGCTTTGTGCAGGGATCTCCTTCTCATTTGTCACACACTGTGCATCCCGGGCATGGAAAGCCAGGAGAGGAATGTGGGGGAGCCCCAGAGGTCCTTTTATCCTTTCAGGCTGTGTTGTGCTCCCTGCAGGCTCCTGGAGCAGGCTGGGGCCGTGACCTGCTGGGATCTCTGTGCTTCTGTGCCCTGCAGGTTGTGGACACCTTCCTCATCGGGCGCTTCATCCTCCTGGCTGTGACGAGCCTGCTGTTCCTGGGCTGCCTCTTCCTGTTCCTCATCTACCACCTCATGGAGCCTGTGTATGCCAAGCCTCTCCACAGCAGATAGAGACAGCAAAAAGGACATCCTGATACATGGGAATAAACCAGGGGCTGCTCTGGAGGTGACCCTGATGTTCTTAGAGCCAGCAAAGCAAGAGAAGCCTTTGCTTCATCTTAAAAAGCAAAGTTTGGTGTGAGCATGAGCTCCTTCCTCCCCAGGGGTTCAAGCCTGTGCACCTGCAAAGGTGTGAGAGCCTCTGAATGCTGCTCTCGTGTACAGAGAGCTGAGATCCAGCACGTGGTGCTGCTCCTGGTTCAGTGCTGGACCGAGGTGGTTTGTTATTGTTACCCACAAGAGATGGGCAGAGCAAACAAACAAACAAGTCACAAACAAGAGCAGTTTGTTACTGCTCCTTTTTCACTGTGGTTTAATAAAACTCTTTGAGAAATCCCCGCCTCAGGCTGGATTTATTCCACAGGGATGTCACATTTGGCCACGCTGTGGTGACAGTGCCCATGAGAGCTGCCTTGAGAAAAAAACCCAACCAAACATCAGTGTGTGGCTGTGGATTGTTTGGGATGGTCCCTCGGACTGGAAACCAGAGGCTTTGGGGTGGGAGTGAATGCAGAGTGCTCCCAAACAGCAAATGGAAATCTGCCCTCCCAGGAGTGAGCAAAAAGCTGTGTGTGCCCTCCCTGGTGCTGAGCAGGGCTCCCAGCCATGGGAAATGCAGATATCTGAGTGTTCCCTGCCTGTGAGGGCCCTGGGTGCTGCCAAAGGCTCACAGCTGCTCCCACCCTAAAACTCCAAACCTTTGCTCAATTCTAGCACAGATCCTGCTGGAGCTGCTGTCACCCTGTCCCTTCCCTGTCCCTCTTTTCCCCTCCTGGGGGAGAAAACCCTCTCTGTGTTCTGCAGGAGCAGCAATGGGGTTGAATCCCATTTTTGTCTCTATTTTTGGGGGGAGCCAGGGCAGCAGTGCTGCTGAGGCAGAGCCTGTGCTGAGATGAAGCTGTGGGCAGCACGAGCTGTCTGACAGCCACTGCTGCTCTGTGCCCTCTATGGCAGCAGCTTTTTTCCTGCAGGACATCTCAAAAGGCTTTCAAATTGCAGGAGAAAAGCATTTTTGGTGGCCTGTGACCATTTTGTAGCAGGGAAGAAGCCTTTTTACC